GAGATATCCTCCAAACACCCAGGACATGGCAATATAACACAGAACAAGTTAGGAAATGTACGCATAATAACTCTGGCGTGTTCCGTCTTTTGTGTCACTATACACTCTTGTAAATAGTAACTTTTGAAGCTGTCTTACAAATACAAGCAACAAGTCGAACGCGCAAGGATTTCTGATATTAAATTTTGTAAAAATCTGGGCGATCTGCCAGACTACACGGCGCTGGAACCCAGAAGACGGTCATCTTGATACTTGCAGCTGTGGGAACCTGAAGTCTCAAAACATCATGACAGCCTTTTTGTTTAATTATCTCTAAAATTTTAAGACTTACGGGTAAAATGTATGGTTCACGAAGCGTGTGTCTTGTTTTCGAGACTGAGGTACCTCAGAATCCTTTTGATATTTTGCTTGTTCAGCGTTCTCTTTTAGTGGCTTTCGAAGTGCATTAACGAAGTCGTCAGAGCGCACAAACCTGTATACGATATGAAGTAGCTGATGGCCATGTTAAGTGGGTCCCTCGTCACTGCGATATGGCGTGTCCTCTGGTTGCGGTTGGAGAAGAAGGCTTTCAGATATGGAATAATCGGTCGCGGCCAGCCGACAATGGGCGGTCCTTCAGCTTGGGGGTTCGGCGAGGGGGCCAACAATTTTTCACCATAAATAATGTAGCATATTACGAAATGTGTGGTGGCTGTTGTGAACACGGTAATGAACCTTCGAGTTTCATAAATTGTTGACTAACCGAGTGTACTGTTAGTTTCTCAACATGGATTCTGCTCCGTGGAGCGAGTTCGATGACCAAATTCTTAGTGAAGGGGGGGGGGGGGTAGATTTTTTTTAAAGGATGTAATTTGTGTAGAAATGTTTCCAGTGCGTTGTGTTCTTATAGAAATATGTTTTTAAAAGTCGCTTGAATCTGAGCTGCGCGTTTACATGCGTGTATATCGTTAGATGTCTCGTTCATGCATACTGATCTTACAGACCTGGCTTAATGGAACTGAACTAAGGTCTCTTGAATGTGGGGCTCACTACGCTGCACATATCATGAATAATGTAAGAGTGGAAGATGGTGGGGGAGCCGGACGTGACTTTTAAAGTTTCCTGTATCGGAAAAATTCCATAGGTTCAACTTACAACCTGACCTGTTTACAGGTAAACGCCGAGTATCTACGTGCCTTATCATTTCAGTCCACACACCTCCGTCTTATTTCCTGAAGATTCGATTTATTATCCTCGGAATTGTCACTTTTATTAAGGTTTAACAATCAAGATTTTATACTAATTTATCTGTCTTTCGTTTGCTATCATTTGTGCTACATGCCCCGTTTACCTCGTCCTCTATGATTTGATCATGCTAATAATATTTGTCCCATGTGTTTCGCCGCTGTCTCACACGATGCTACATTAAGTATTTTGTAGATTTGCCCGAATAATGTAAAGGATTTACTACTTGTTCTGAAGGTTTTGGCTTAAGTGCATGAAAATACGCCAAATACTGTTATATATGTTTAAGGAAAAAGCACTTAAGTTTGTTAGAGCCTTGAATTAAAATTGGAGCTGGTGGTTGTGCCTCGATGGATTTGGAATGTGTGTAATGGTTTAAGGCGCCGGTTGCATTTTCGCCGGTTAAGCCACTGAAGCACACAATGAATTTTTTGTCTGGCTGTTGAACAGAGTTATGGCCAGCTGATGTACAGTATAAAAAATAAGGAACTCAGACTTCAACTCCTATACGCTTCAGTAACCAAGGTCAAAGAGATGTGCATCTTATTTTAATTCGAACATTTGTACACCTGCATTAGTCACACGAGTTGGGAAGCCGAGAGTTCATATACCTCCCTTGAATACTTTATAAATTCTGTATCAGAAGAATAAAAACTAAACATAAGCTGTTTGTATGTATTTATTTATACATTTGTAAGCTGTTTCATACGCTTATGTGACTATGAGCTAAAAAAATATTTTTGAAAAATTATGAGAATTAAGAAAAAGAAATAAATTTCGTGATTTTAGGTACGTAAGGTGACGAGTATTTAGATAGCCGTCGTCTGAGATGCTGCGCTGCTTTGTCTGGTAGAAATTGGCTGAAATTTTAAAGGTGATTGCTGTTTTCATTATCGCCCTGATGATGGAGGCAGCGGGCACCTATGAAACGTGGACTAAGCTCTTTTCATGTGATTTGGAATCCCTTACCTATACGCCGACTTATAACTGTTTAAAGAGATAAAAAGGAAAAGATTTCGAAATTTTGCTGGTTAGCCATCTTAGAAAGCTGCTATTTAGAAGACCGATATCAAGTTGGTCGGTGATATTCACACTTTAATGCACAATGGTAATTATATGTACCACCTGCTTTAATTATCAGCAATTCTTAATTTTACTCACAGTGATTAGTCTGAGAATCATAAGAACATTCTCAGACTAATCAGCGATTATTTCGTTTAACACAATTAACTGGTTGATGTTTGTAATGGTGAAGTGTTATTTTTTTTATTTTAGGTACGGACTGAATTTTTAGAATAACATTTGGATTAATTTCTGCATCACAGGGTTACTCTGCCTTATCGGGCTGTGTGGTTCAGTGATTTAAATGTGACTGAAGTGGTTTACGATAAGATTTTTATATTAACAGTTTTGAGTTTTCGGGTTTTAATTCTTGAGATCAATCGTCAGTGTTCAGCATAAGTTGTCGAGTGTGTGTGTGTGTGTGTATGCCGTATATTGCAAATAAATAAAGTTAGAGTACAAAGGAAGAATATAAAGACATGTTCCTGGCGTGAGCAAAGGTTTGTACTTCAGTAATATGTTAATCTGTATTTTAAGGCATTGTTAAAGCTTGTTAAAATACTGTTCTTTCGTCCATGCTCTTGCTGTCTTATTAATATCTGTGAAAGGCATGGCGTATTCTTTATTTAAATATTAAAGTGTAAATAGTTCCGTTTCTTACCTACATCCAGCTTTGAATTTAAACTAGGTACTGTGTCAACTTACTGAGTAAAAGGACTTATGATATCTGTGACATCAGTGTAACGTTAAGCTGCATTGCTTATGATCTCTATGACATCAGTGTAACGTTAAGCTGCATTAATGTCCTACATCTTATATAGCGCTCTAAAAAAAATTAATTAAGCTGATACGTATTTCTATAGGAGAAGATGATAGGTTCTTACATAAAGTATTTAGCACTTCTAAGTGGCTACCATCGCCGTATAGGCTAAATTTAAAACTTCAAATCTTTGGCTGTTGTTAAAAGTTTCCATGTTTAACTTTGCCTTTTCCGCAGTAAGATACAAGACAGTAAAACAAACATGGCCATACTACAGACATAAAACTCCTTCTGAAAAATTTCCTGGTTTGTATGTCTGCATAAAGTCTTATAATACAATTTAATAGGATACATAACCATCTTTTTGTTAGTCGAGCTGAAAATAAGAACTCCGTATTTGTTTCTTCTGTTTGTAGACTTTAAACACAAATGAATACTACACGTAATTTATATGTCGACGATTCGGAAGACAACGAGTGTAGTTTGTGAAACTCGATTTAGACTTATGAAATTAACATCAAAGGTTAGTGAAAAGTTGTTTTTAATTAAAAATGTTGCCTTATAACTTAATTCTAGTTGGCATAAAGTATTTTCACTAGTATAAAATCACTTCACACTTCAGAAAACTTTAATAAATCAATGTTTCTGACAACACTCGCTGGCTTCTGAATCGTATATGTATGAACAGATCATATATTTTGAGGTGAGGGCTCTTACTAATTCAAATAGACTTAGAGCCTCAGTTAACTCTGATACCTGCAATTTTTTTCCATGTGTTAGTTGTTCAGTAATGATACGTTCCTTCATATTTTGCCCGGCACGTACGTACGTGATCGTGATTTTTTTTTACAGTATCTCATCATTTTATTATTTTATAACTTCGTGCAGAACGTCTCTGCTGCAGACTGGTCAGCATTTCGGCCTCGTAAGTAAGTGGTCCCTGGTTCACATCTCAACCCGGAGACCGGCAGTCGTAATTAAGATTTTTGTATTATATTTTCCTCAGTCTCTCCAAGTAAATTTCGGGATAATACCTCAACTCAGGCCACTACCATTTCCTTCCACATCTTTTACAATTCTTTATTCAACGGTATATAATCTGAGAAACCTAAAGTTTTTTAAACAAAAATAATTAAACAGTTTGTGTTGGTAATATTGATAATTTCACTGTCTTGAAGCTTTATCGATGTTGCTTTATTTTATCCTTTTGAACAAAGTACACACAGTCGGCTATTAAAATTTCAGCCTCTCAGTATTCGTTCTCTTATCTGGCATAATTATATAAGCTAGGAAGTACGTAGAAACTGTCGGAGTTTTAAAGTAGAAGATGAATTTTAAATTGACTTCTTCCTGTTTCCGTCAATACATTTTGGAACACTGACTTCAGCCATTTACGTAAGCAGTAGCACAAGGTCGCGCCACCGTTCGGGGCGATGTGGTACTCCACTCCTCCTCATATCTCATTGCTGTCTCGCCTCTCAAGCATTGTGACAAGTTCATTGAGACCCCTTGTATACACACATTCGGAGAAATACGAAAATGAGCTTCAACAACCCATAAGGTCATCATCTTCATTCGAAACACCCAATTATTACATTTTAAACACATAGATTTTTACATAAGCATTGACATTGAAACGTATAGCGTTGCTAGGAGTTGTTGAACATTTTAAAATTAAATAAGTCGCTGTTGATGCTTAAACTGACATTGAGATGTAGCAGAATTTTGTACACTGGCGTATCTAGTTACAACCTTCACGTGTTTCTCCTTATTACCAACCATTAGCTGCAGGTCAGTTGTTTACGGAAGCGAGACACAATAAGGACAGCTCACAAATGTAGTCATATACTTCTCATTGATCAATTCTGATTTGCAATGAACGTTTCTGTCATCCATAACTTTTACCTGCTTCCAGTCGTCACCAGATCTCCCAAAATTATGTGTGAGGACTCACCGTCTACTGGTGACACTGCCATGTCGACGTTCCCCAAGAGGCCAATCACCGCGGCGGCAAATACTGACGCTTTGACGATGAGCATTGTCGCCGACGCCGTCATAGTCCAGGGTGTCGTGCGCAGTGCGTCTTGGTTCCAGGCGGGCTGGCTGAACACTAGATGCCAGGCTCCTCTGTCCGTTGCGGCGGGAAAGACGTGAATGTGGAGGGGGGAACGACCGAGACCGGAGAACACCACGACCTGAGAAACCGCTCGGTGTCAAACCGATATCGGTAATTAGTGGAAATGGCCCTGGAAGTCTGTATTATAATTACGCCCTATTCGGGTGTGAAACTGCAAGTCTGTTTACTCACTTTGCTACGAGCTGAATCAACGGGGTTTGATTAGCTCGTAGGGGCAGAATTATCTCTTCGCCACTGCTTCCAGATTGGCTCTTGGGCCCCCCTAAACCTTGTATTCTGTAGGCACCTGAGTGCTCTTTCCACGGGGTAAATCGGCCAGGACGCGAAGCTGGCCACTCGACTCCGTCTAGAACGCGTGTAACTATAGAGAATTGCCCTCACAAATACTTATTGTGTTGCTCAATTATGGCGGGCTTTTGTGAAAGCAGTAATGAACTTTGAGTTCCACAGAAGACGGGGAATTTGGAGCTGAGCGACTATTAAACTTTAGAGAAGAAATTTTATCCATAGAGTTAGCGATAATTTTACCTCCATACAGGCGTGAAGGTTGATTAGACTGAAGTCTTGGGAGAAGAACGGAAATAGTGAATGTCTGAGAATATAGTGTTAAGAGAGACGAAGCGAGAAAATCACATACCGATGATGACAAAATCATGGTGGATGGGGAAACAGATTTAAGTGTCAGCGTATTTCTGTTGATTCAAACTGTGAACTTCCCGGAGGAAAGGTAGAAGTCTTTCCCATTTCCAGAACGATTCGTGGGCAAATGGGATGAGTGTAATGGCAACCGTAGATTAAATCCGACCGCTTACTTCAAATATGAATTTTCTTTTACCCAGAAGTTCCTGCACTTTTATTAATAAAAACCCCTGCGAAGGACATTTTGTAATTCATAATAATAAATCATAATCTATTTGCATTTATCATGAATACTCTCAGAAATGAGGGCATTTCTGCATGAGATATCACTGATGAAACAGTTTTAAAGTCAGTAATCTTCCATTTGTGACTAATATTTCATTCCAGGAGGAAAACTTATCCCTACAAACTTGTGAACTTGCCAGGATTAATTTGTGATTTTATTTGGTTACTCCAGGCAAACACGGAAATAAAAATTTGAAATTAATTATTATTTTTAAGCCGCGGCGTTGTACGTTAATTATTAGATCTTTTGTGCGAAAATTATTTTTACTCTACTAATTTCTCCAGTTAATATATGATATTGAAAAATTTGATGGGTGGTCACAATTTTAATCTAATCGTCCCTTTTAATGTAGCTCCTTCATTCAGTTTCCTTCTCTTAATTTATAGTCTTTATACTGTTTTCTCTCCTCTTTCATCCGGCTTAGTTCGTGTCTTGGTAATCGTGGTACGTGGTTCCATGTCGTCATAAGATCCATGCACGATTGATAGTCACCACAGACTCATTTCCTTCCTTTGTAAACAGAATGACATAGGAAACATTCTTCACAATTCCCTCTCTCTGAAAACGTTGAAGCCTGAATGAAACCCTGTAAAGCATCTGAAAATATGTGTCGTCTTGGGTACTGCGCAGTGTAGTATAATTAAAATTGACCGACGTTTCAGAGGTGTTTAGCACCTCCATCATCAGGACGATGATTGAAGTAGTATGCACCTCTGAAATGTCAGCCAATTTCTACGCAGTATCTCAGAAGTCATTTACTCACAGGTGTAAGAACTTGAAATATCACCTCTAAAGCAGTTGACGTAGACTGACACTTGAACGACCGGATGTTGCCTGCAGAATTATTATCGTCGAGTTAGATGACGGGAAGTTACGTCAGTGCCGTGGGCGTACCGCTCCACACGCGTGGTCCTAGGCCCTAAGAGGTGGGGAGTGGTCAGTAAACAGTTGTAAGTAGTGGTACGTACTGAAATGGCTCTCTCCGCCACCGCATTCAGCCCTCATTTACGCAGTACATTTATTTTTCTTCGAAACTACTCGACGGATGATTGATGAAATTTATAATTGTTTACCTGTTCTAATACTTGCAGAGCTGATTTAATTTCGGTACCTACCGGCCGAATACGAGGTGCGATCGGAAGGTTTCCAGACTGCGCGTATAAAAACCCGTACACTTATCTCAGGTATTAAAGTCATCCATCACCCTCGAAGTAGTTCCCCTGGGAGTGAACACAACGATCCCAGCGCCGCTGCCAAGCCTGGAAGCATCCCTGGAAATCTTTCTTTGTCAGCCTGTAAAGCACCATCTGCGATTCTGCCTGAATCTCTTGCCAAAGACTCGCCAAAACGGCTACGGAAACCTATGAAATGCTAAAGCAAGCATTTGGGAAGTCCGCAATAATAATTCGTATAATGTCTAAATAAAGCTTCAATCGAACAAAATCATACCATCGTGAGGAAAATTGTTACAATGATATTCTTATTAAATTCTCGTTCTCGTGTCTGTCCCGTAACTGGTCTTCCAATTTATATTTTTTTTCCGACATAAAAAAACCAACAAAATATCTCGCGCTGTCCCTGAGTCCCACGCCATCTGTTTTTTTAAGTTTCTTTAACAGTGCAATGAGTGCTGGGGGTCCCACTCTCAAAGAAGGTGCCCTAGAACGCCCAGGAACAGCAACTAAGGCACACTGCCGTCTCACGTTCGCCGTTCGCCGCGGATAGTACGAAAAATCACTAGCTGTTCACACACGGTTATTGGGATATATTCATCAGTGTTCATTCTCGTGTGTGTTCATATCTACTCGCGGCTTAACATGCAAAATATGTTTAATTAAGATTTAAAGAACTTTAGTTTTAAATATGTGCGTAAATTATCTCCAAAAACCTTGTTTGAATTTACATTAAAAATGATCTGACTTTTTCATCCTGTCTCAACAAGTGTCTGACGACCCGGTGTAGGACGTAAAACTACCGAAATCAGACATCCGTCACCTACCATCGTTTGGCAACTTCCAAGCGCAACGGATGACTCTTTGCCGGTAGCATTTCTTGTCGTTAGTGAGAAAGTTAGTTAACGATGCAAAGGAACACATTCAAAAGACTTGTCTGTATGGCTCTGTTTTTAGCTGAGGTTATTTTGTCAGTAAGATCTGAAGCTGGTGAATACGAATGGTAAAGTAGAGATTTGTAGATAAGCCCTGGTTTTCTTGAACGCTGGAGAGAAATCACCTTGTCTGTTTTGCAGAAATGTTCGCGATGTTTCAAGTCTGTTCATTGCAGACTCGTCACGAATCAAACTGGAAACGATCTGCGGGCAGTGAAGTTGGATTTTGTGTTGTGGCACAAAAGAGCAGGTTTCTTTGTCACATTTAGCGAGTGGGCAACGAACATAAAAATAATAGAACGTATTTAAATCGGCCTACAAAATCTTATCAGTCCCAAATATTCATTCGCTCTTTGGTCCTTTTTTTCCCCACTGTTAATTTGGCTGTTTATTGTTAATTAAGAGGAATGAGCCCCTTATACTTTTTGCATATTTTCTGGTAGTTTATATATAAAACTGGCACTACTTAGAATTTTAGTTTGTGTGTTTGGCTACTGTATGTTTACAATCACTGGGCTAACAAACCTCCCCAACTTCTACTTCAGTCTTGGCCACAATATCAGTCTCTGTTGAAGTTAGAAGATGGCCTTCTTCTGGGTTGTTTGCGCTGTGTAGTCTGGTAGAATTTTACCGACGTTTCAGAGGTGCCTGCTGCATGCATAATTAGGACGTCCATTGCCGTGATGTTGGATGTAAACTTCTACCAGACTAAACCTCGCAACGGCCCAGAAGACGGACATCTTCGTACTCACCGCCGATGTGAGAACCTGAGAACTCACTATTTTGAAGTACTCCAGTACCTTGGAGACGCGGCATTTTTTTTGCAGTTTTCGTGTTAATTCTCGGCTACGATTCCAGCCAGCTCTCATTTCGAGTGTTTGTGTTTTCATATGGAAGAGTGCTCAGCGGCTTCCTCGCTGTGTGGCTGTTGACACTGCACATGTGTGTAGGCAAGGTACGTCCCTCAGAGAGAGCCTTCGGATCGCCTCTCACAGTGCAGACGGCACTTCATATTGCTTGCGATGGAATTCACTATAGTCCAGACGTCTTGGAATTTTGGGGGCAGACTCAAGATTTTAGAATGAACGTCTTCTGGGATGTTGGCGCCGTATAGTATCGTAAAAAAAATTATCGACGTTTCAGAAATGCTTGATCCGATATCTCGGGAAACCATGTGGTACGCATAGTTGCCCCTTAATTTTAATAATATACTGGTTGCTTTTCAAGCGTACCACATAACGCTTTCAACATTTTATAACACACAGAAGAAGGCAATGGCAAACCACTTCTGGATCATCTGCCAAGAACGTATATGAACAGGTCCCAGTCCGAGAAGAGAAAAGGATGGAAGGATCCTGTTCATATGGACCTGTCGTCTGACAGAACACTAAATAAATAAAATAAATATAATAAAGTAGAACGAAACGTACCTTGAGATTACAACATGTTCTCTTCGAAAGGAAACCCAAAATATTTACTGTCTCCATCTCGTAATTTGTATCGTACATGGGAACGTTTCATTTAAAAATTTACCCTTCTACTGGCACAACAATTTTTTTCGTGCTTTTGTAAACTGTAACGGTTGATCGTCATCAAACATAAAACAATTCAAGTAGATGTCAAGTTATATTCCATTTTAGGCCCTAATTCTTAACAAAATATACAACTTTTAAGAGATCTGTTATTTTTGGAAATTATTGTTATCCCATAGAACATGGAGTTTTATGGTTCCTCCATCTCACAAATCATTAAAGCATCGCTGTATATATAGAATTATATAACATTTCTGCCTGTAAGGTCAAATCCAAGAGCGTGGCTTTCGTAGAGAGTTTCATGAAGCCAGCCGCCGACCACTTCAGAACCCACTAACAGAGACAACATGCACGCCTGTGCAAGGCCTAGTCGTGTATTTCCTTTCTGAAACCAGTTGTGGAAGTGATTAATAAAATAAAATATTCAGCGACGCTGTTCCACTGCGGAGGTTAAATTACGATGAGTCATTTTCGGAGATGATCATGAATGGCGAGTAGTTAAAAGATTTGGAAGGAGGTGATAGTGGCCCATTTAAAGATACTGCCGCGGCGTTCGCCTGGAGTCACTGAGTAAAACTCAGTGTAGCTAGCAATTCAAGCTTCGTAACAGGTGAGTCTCAGACAAACTCCAGCCTGAAATATACTGGAAAATTTGTGAGTTTTGAGATTTTAACAGAGCTGAGGTTTATGTTGTTCTTCTGGGTTTTTGCTTTAACCCTGACGATGGAGATAGTTGTTTCTCCGAAACGTTGACATCTATCGACGAGTGTACATGGCGCCGAAACCCAGAAGAATATCATCTGCTAAGTTCTTATTTCAAGGTGATATATAGGACAAATGTGTCTGTAACTGGTCAGCATGTGATCTGTGGTAGAACTTTATATCTGCTTTGTGTTAATTAGGTGGACATCCCTGCTAGTGCGATATTGCAGTGGATATACGAGTTGGCTCAGCTCACTGTTCATGGGTTGCCTTTTAAGTAGCCCCGCCAGCCGGTCAGTCACTTTTCCTTCCACATCTCGAAGCACTGCATTTCCTGAAAGCGATTTCATAGAATTTGTAGTGTTCTCGTAGCTTTGTGTAGATTAGTAGAACGTCTGGTTTGATGATGAGCTCCCTCGGCAGACAGTAAGACAGTAGTCTTGTCTGCATTGTTTGTTTCAGGAGATTCGTTTCATCCAAAACGTTTATCTAGTAGGTCCAGTTTGGTGATGAAATTTTTGTTTAATATTCCTCTAATGTATTGAATCTCAGGAATGCGTATAATGTCAATATATTAAGCAAAACATAAATAGGGACCATAA